CAATCTACCAATCTACCAAGCTACCAATCTCGCATGCTACCAATCTATCAAGCTATCAATCTATCAAATTACCAATCTATCAAACTACCAAGCTATCAAGATACCAAGATACCAAGCTATGAAGGTACTAAGCTATCAAGCTACCAATTTATTAATCTACGAAGCTACTAATTTATCAATCTACGAATCTACCAACCTACCAATCTACCAACCTACAAATTACATAAAACCCAAGGAGTGGACCCCGCGTAAATAGCAACAAATTATCTAAATAAATGCAACGTTAAACTCAAAAACCCCGCATTGTCGAATCAATAAGTCCAGCATTCCTTCTCTCGTGTCAGTTTCCCCAAAGAAAATTACTCCCGAAACAAATTATCCCCCCGAGAGTCCCCCCAGATAGATTTCTCATCTTCTATTATACTAACTTCAATGTTAACACTATCGACACAGCACGCAGCAGAGACGCCATGCACGCGCTACCCAAATGTCATGGGGTCCCCTCTTCGCGTAGCAGAGCACCACGTGTTCCTCCCTTTCCCCCAATCCTCCCTGCCGCGCAGTTCCGCAAATCAAGTTCAGCACTCAGTCGCCCTCGGGACGCCGCGCGCTCGCTGTGCCCGCGCGTGGCCCGCGCTTCCTTCGTCGTCCACCGCCGCGTTTCGAGTGCTCCTCGTACCGAGGATTGATTGCCCACCCGGCAGTGCAGCGAACGATCCGGAATCCATCGCGAACCGATAAATCGGACGAATCGCCGTCCAGCGATTCCTTCGTCGACAAATTCGAGCGATCCGCGTGCTCGAGGAACGAAGAACGCGCGCGCGCCAGTTCAGCGCGGGAGAACGAACTTCTTTTTCCGCGATTCCGTGAATATGTACGATGTATCTCACGCTGGGCGGAAACCGGGTATCTTTTCGTGGGTAGCGCGTGATTCGGTGAGCGCGGATCTATCGGGTGTGCCACCGAGGAACGGATATATACTTGGGACAATTGTTCGCAGGGACGTCTTGGCGGCGTCCCGGTGCCCTGGACCGGTGCGTTCCCGGGCCTTTCGGTGAATTTATTTTGAATTGGGTCCCTGAATTGGGTGGAATGATGGAGAAACAGATGGAACGGAGAGGGGAGAACGTAAAAGGGGAACCGATGGCGACGGAAACGGAGGTTCGAGCTTGCACGAATTCACGTGGGAGACCTTAGGATGGGGGGAGGGGGTGGGGGGTACTTAGTGTAGGGGAGACTAGTATGGGGCCTCAGTTTGGGAAGCTGTTAGGTTAGGGAGCTTTTGGTTCGGGAGGGCCTTAGTTTAGCGAGCTTTTAGTTTAAGGGGCTCCTATTTAAGAAGCCTTTAGTCTAGGAAGCCTTAGTTTAGGGAATTCTTAGTTTTAGGGCCCCTAAATCTAGGAGACCCTTGACATGTTCACGCCACTGTGTTCCACCGGTGGTTCGCGTTTGCCTCTATTATCGGGCGGCGTGTACCACCGGTGGGTCGCACTTTCCTCTTCCATCAGGCGGCGTGTACCACCGATGGGTCGCACTTTTCTCTCTCATCGGGCGGTGTGTACCACCGATGGCTCACAAAGGCCTCTCTCGAGGGACGGCGTGTACCACCGGTGAGTCGCGCTTTCCTCTCTCATCAGGCGGCGTGTACCACCGATGGGTCGCACGTTCACCTCTTATCGGGCGGTGTGTACCACCGGTGGCGCACAAAGGCCTCTCTCGTGGGACGGCGTGTACCACCGGTGGGTCGCGCTTGTTTGTCTCATCAGGCGGCGTGTACCACCGGTGGCCCGCGCTCGTGTGTCTATCAGATGGCGCGTACCACCGCGCCGCCCCGTGGGGCGAGAAAAACAAACAGCGGCGCCGTCGTGAACGCGTCGATCCAGGAAGCTCTTAATTTTGGAGGAGGCTTAGCCTGACGGATCTTTAATCTAGCAGTCCCTTAATCTAGAAAGTCCCTGAATCTAGAAGAACCACAATCTAACGACCTCTTAGTTTAGCAGCGAATAATGAAGCTTCACTCCTACAATATCTCTAACTTCGTGCATCAACCGATATTACGAGAACGAATCGTCCGAAATAGAATCGATTCCGATTCGATCGAATCCAATTGTTGTGCTAGGTTACTTTCGTAACGATATGTCTTCTTCATTCCCGTCGGAATTTTATTTTGTACGCCCCAGTGATACATCAACAACGAAACGCGTTACAATTATGATTGAAAACGATTCCGGATACCAGCAGCTGTCGCGGTGTCGTAATTATAGCGCGAATACAAATTAACTTTCCAGACGGGTCAAGGCCTCCGCGCGGCGCACTCGATGCGCATTCTCATCTTTTTGGATCGTTCCGCTACCTAAGCATAGTATAGCATAGTATAGCATAGCAAGTATAATTAAAATAAATTCGGATAGTAAAAAGATGAGAAAAAGAGAGAGCTTGTGTTAGGAAGTTAACGTTTTACCGACCCTAGATATCAATTGAAACGGATTAATAAAAGTAACTATAACTATTTACCGACCGCGCCATAA